CTATATGTGTTTTAATATTAAGATTGAAGAAATTTAAGATGTGCAACATTCAGTGTAATCCTGCATGCAATCAGTATACCACCACCCGATCTTCCGAACCCCTCCCATTGATCACATCTAAAAACGGATAATTTATTATTAAATATAATTTTATATATTAATACAGAATGTTATCTAACAATGAATAAAGTTATTATTTTTAATTCATGTTATTGATACTCCTTTCCTTAAAAAGTAAAAAATAATAAACCAATAAATTTCAATTAAAGTTCAGCAGAGCGACCAATTAATAATATGTAGTAAGTACAGTGAAATCTCAATAAAGCTCCGTAAGTTGCCTCTTTTGCACACAAAAAAGTTGTGGTCTTTTTAGTTACTTGTGGAAAATTAAAACGTAACTACAGAACTTTATTAAGATTTTACTGAAATATCATTATGTATTGTTAATTTATATGATTAAGATAATAAAGAAAATTTTCTCTTCAGTGTATTTATATGATAAAATTAGTTTTTTAAATTAAATTTAGTATCATTGGATAGGTCGTGACTTGAAATTGTGTCTTCACAATGTTTCATATGCTTTTCATAATACTAAAGTTAGCCGACGTTTCTAATTTTTTCATTTATTAAATTGGAACAAAAAAATATCTTCTAAAAATTACAATTGAAGTTTTTCAAGTTTTTGACAAATAAAATTTTTTTTTCTTCTTTTTTTGTAATAATTAAAAAAAAAAAAAAATTCTAAAAATTTTTAGATGTCGGAAACCTTAATTTGCATATGCTTTTCAGCTATAGTTATTTTATCATGATAAGCTTTTAAAGTAGTTCTAAATAGATTCGAATTTCGCGATAAACGCCATTTGATTATTTACTTATTTTGTTTTGTGCATGTGAATGTGATTATAATTCAAAACAGTATATTACGCACCGAGGGAGGGAAGTAGGACACCCAAGCCAAAGGCGAGGGTGACAAACACGCGGATTGGGATATTCTACTTTTCTCATGGGCGCGTATACTATTTTTGATTATATTTGTAACCAAAAGTTTAAACTTTGTGCTTTTATTTTTGTGGGAAGGTTAGTGCAAATTTCAAACTGTTTATTTATTTTATATATTATTCCTTAATATAAAAATCGCATTTTCTTTCCGAAAAACAGAGCAGGAAGTCTAAATTTTCGATGGAGATATGATGAAAATTAATTTATACAATTAAATGACTAAGAAAAATTTTGCAACGGATATTTCTTTATTGTAAATTAGATTTGATACTTTTTCAACGGTAGTCATTTATGATTTAAATAATTGAGAAAGAATGGAAAATTTTATGACTAGCAGATTATTATTTTTAAATGAATTTTTTCTAATTAAATTTGGTATCATCAAAAAAGTTTTGACAAGAATTTGGGCTTTTTCATGGTTTTATATATTTTTTCAACGATTTTCTCAACAAATAAATTATTATCAGATTATCACCAAAACTGTGTCAGACTTTTTTATTGGACAAAATAATTAAATATGTAAATCATATTCATTTTTTTTTTTAATCAAGCAGTTTATGTGACTAAATAAATAGAAAATAGAAAACAATTATTAGAAAAAAATTGTCTAAAAATTCTAGATATATATAGAAATTTTTTTAATTTATTAATACAATTTTTAAAAATTATGACATTAAAGTTAGCAGTCACTTAACCATTTTTTAATTTTTTTTCGACTAACAAAATTATTCCAAAAAATTATTTTAAAAAAATTGCATTTTTAATTTTGTAAAATTTCTAAATATCAATTTTTTTCTCATTTTTTTTTTGCATAATTTATTTGATAAAAAAATTCTTAAAATTATCAAATATCTGCTAAATTATTTATGAAAATTAAGTTAGCCGTGGCTCAAAAATTTTTGATTTTTTTTTTTAAATTAAAAATTAGAACAAAAACTATTTTTAAAAAATTCTACGGATAATTCTTAAAATTTTCTACATGTGAAAATTTTTGTTTAAGTTTTTTAAAAATTATTTTCAATAAAGGAAAATTATATAAATTTTTAAATGTCGGTTAATTTAATTTTCATAAATTATTTTCATTTAAAAATTATTTTTTTGAAACTAATTAGTTTTTTAAACAAAACCAAAAAATTATCAAGTATCTGCGGAATTAATTGTATATCATAAAACGATACATAATAACCGTATATATAACTATAGAAAATTTTTTGTCCATGCAGATAAATTATCATTAAAAAAATTAATGAAAATTAAGTTAGCCGACATTTGAAAATTTTTAGAATTTTTTTTTATTAAAAAATTTATTACAAAAAAACTTTTAAAAAAATGTCACTTGTGAAAAACTTCAAAAACTGTAAGTGAAATTTTTTAAAAATATTTTTCTATTTTAATTTAATTATTAAAAAAAAAATCAAATAATTAAAAACGTCGGCTAACTTTAGTATGATAAAAAATTACCCATAATTTAAAAAATTTTCTTGATATAATTTGTTCTTCTAAAAAATTAATGCGATCTTGACTAATTTCAGCAGTATCTAAAAATATTATTTAAGTAATAAAAAATAAATAATTTGATTGACCGAAATAAAGCGGGAATCCGAATAGTTACGAAAATACCCGAATAATTTAGTCTCGAGCGCACGAGCGCTACCCACATGGAAAATGGTGGTGAAAGAGCAGGCCAGTGAATATTATATCTCAAGCAACTATTCGCCATCGTTGATGGTCGTACATCGTGTCGTTAAAACTCTCAGTGTCGCATATTAACCTGTAATGCCGTATTATTGTGCTTAATGGAACGATTGAGGGCAGCAATATTGATCTGAATTCGACCTACAATAAATTAAAGGTATGTAATTTACAAAAATACTAACATAAAGTTATTAAATACGGAATAATAGATTTAGGCATTACTTACCATCCGCTTTCTGACTGTGTAAACTACTTACTGCGCATGTGCTGACGCGGGAACGATAAATTTTTACATAAATTCACGTCTTCGTCAACATCAATGTTATTCATCAACACATCACACTACTAAACTCTCTCACTTGTATTATTTTATTGTAATTTATCGCCTATTACTACTTAACTATCATTTTTAATTTACTATTCATTTTATATTTTATATTTTACATTATTATCGTTATTGTTATTATTTTTATATCACAAATTATATCATTTAAAAAATTTTTATCACAATTAATTTTTTTTCTTTTCAGGTATATTTTTAGTTTTCATTTTTTTATTCATTCCGATTGATGATAAAAATTTTACAATTAAAAAAATTTTTTAGTTTTGCAAGTCAAAATTTTTATTTCTTATTTTTAATAATTATTTGATATTATTTTTAGTTATTAATTAATCACAAAAAAATTAAAAAATTTATTTAAAATTAAAAAAAAATAACATTTTAATTTTTATAACAAATTCAGTATTAAATAAAATTGTTTTTATGTAGCTCAAAATGATGATTTTTTTTTATAATAATATTTTGAATTATAAAAAGAGATAAAACAAATTTTTGAAACTTTTTAAATAAATCACACTAGAATTTTTCAAATTTTCGCTTAAAAATTTTTTTTTGTTTAAAAAAGAACACCACTGTGACGATCGAAAAAAAGAGGTGATTTTCGGGAATTTTTTTGACAGGGAAAATAAAGGAATTTGGGGATCGGATTTTTTTATGTTATTAAGGGTATATTAAAGATTATTACCCTAAATTTTTATTAAAAAATATTTAATTATTACAAAGTTATTAACAATCTCGTAGAGCACTAGATAAAATTTCCCCCTCCATGGTCGGTTCGATAACTCAAAAACGGATCATCTGAAAATAAAAACCTAATTTGCTTTTTCGGAATTTTGAAAATTTTTATTTTTAAAAAAATGGCGACTGATTGAAAATTTTCTCACTATTCTTACTGATTTTTTTTGTTTTAACCCGGCTAAAAAAATCTTTAAAATAAAAATTTTTCAAATTTCGTGCGTGCGACGATAACTACATCCTTACTGATTAAAAAGCAATTTGGGTTTTTATTTTCAGGTGATCTGTTTTTGAGTTATCGAACCGACCGTGGAGGGGGGAAATTTTCTTAGTGCTCGATGAGATTATTAATAACTTTGTAATAATTAAATATTTTTTAATAAAAATTTAGGGTAATAATCTTTAATGTACCCTTAATAAAATAAAAAAAAACACGATTCCCAAATTCCTTCATTTTCCCTGTCAAAAAAATTCCCGAAACACTTTTCAAATTTTTTGATGCACAGATATTCTGTATTTTCACTTGAGTTTTAACTAGCTAAAATTAAAATATTTTAAGTAGAAATTAATAAATTTAAAAATTATAAAGAAAGTCAAAATTGAATTTTATATTTCTGATAAAAAAAAGATTACTGTTGAAAGAGATTATAAATTTTTTAAGTTGAATTTTTTTTAACAAATAACTTGATTTATTACTCCAATAAAGGCCAAAAATATATCATTAGAAAAAATAATTTAAGTTTTCTTATCTTTAATTTATTAATTATCATTGAAATTGGTAAAAAATAAGTAAAAAGCTAAATAATAATTGGGTTTTTGTTGATAAAATTTTTTTTGTTTCTTAAATTTTAACTATTACTATGCCTTAGAGCAAAAAGTTATTTGCATATTCATTCGTCTTTTTAATTTCAATTTAAATTTATTTGAATATTTACTTAAAATAATAATAGAGCCATTAAGAAAAAAAAAATTTAATGTTTAAATATGAAACTTGCGTTTAACAATGACGTAATCAAATATCTGATACTTAATTAAAAATTAGTAATTTAATTACGACAAATAATCGAATTAGTTGACTTAATTAAGAACTAATTACCTTGTAATAATTGGTAACTATAACTTAAGGTTTAATATCGAAACTTCCCAGGTAAAAAAATAAAACACGTACATAGGAACTAACTTTTTATCTTTTTTTTTTTTCTATTTCAGATAAACAAAAAGCAATAAAAAAATGTCGTCGGCTCAAGTAGATCGCGCATCAAAAGTCGGTCATGTGGGGAAAAAAGAAAATGAAAAAACTCGTAAAATGTTTAATCAATCACGTCACTTTAAATTTAATCGTAAACGATCACAAAGTTTCACCGGCGGAAATACAAATAAATTTTTTCCGCCGTACAAGAGGCGAAAAAAAGATGGGGGAATAATCCCTCCAACAAAATTTTTACTCGGTGGTAATATTTGTGATCCATTAAATTTAAACAGTATGCAAGATGAAGAAATAAATCGTGCTATGAATGCTGTTACGCCTAAATCAAGTCCATTACCAACACCAAAACACCGTAAGGGAACAATCGAAGTAATAATACCCCCGAATATAAACGACCCGCTCAATTTAAGCAACTGCAATGACGACGAGTATGAAAAGCAATTGATATCACCAACAAAGAAGTTTTCAAAGCGGCGCAATAGAAAACGCAAGCGCGCTTCATCGGGATCTGGAAAAGAAGATGTAAGTCACAGCGGCAGCGAAACAACGGAGCTAAAATCTGATGAGCTCACTTTGCTCAAGTCATCAAACCCAAAAGCCACTGTAACAATATCTTCTTCGTCATCAGAAGCGTCTACGGAGTCAACGACGCCAGTAATAACTCCAACTTCCACTGAAGCACCAACAGCAGCTATGGTGACCCTAGACATGTCATTGGCTTCAGTAGTTCCAGATGAAGAGTCCACTGAAATCACAACGGCGGAAATGGTGTTTGCAGAACCAGCAGTGCCAACTTTGTCGCTTGCAGCTTCACTACCAGCATTACCTGTCGCCGCGATCACAGCGCCCTCGCAGCCATCTAAGGAAGACAAGGTATTACAATCACAGGAAGCTAACGAGCTTGCAATCAATGATAAGACGCAGCAGCTCAAGGACGGCAAAGAATCTAAAGAAACAACCGTTGAAACCCTAAGTCCCCAGAAAGACAAGAACAAATTGCGATTGAAGGGCTTGGACATGGAACCCAAAGACAAGCGGCTGCGCAAGGTAGACATCAAAGATAAAATAGTCAGCCCGGTAATTCCTCAACCCGGTGCTTGGAAGGTTAGGCCGGCTCACAGACCTAACCAGGACAAAAAGAAGAAAGGACTAGATGGATTAGTTATTCCTAAATTTAAGCCGAAAAATGCGCGCTATCAGTTCGGTAATTATGATCGCTATTATGGGTATCGCAATTTCAATATGGAAATAGACCCTCGGCTGACGGTCTTTGCACAACGCAGAGAACTCTTTTATAATAAAGATATTCTTGATATCGGTTGTAATATTGGACACATCACCTTGTCAGTAGCACGACATTTAGCAGCACGCAGTGTTACGGGGATTGATATTGATCGTAAGCTGATTGGGATCGCCAGAAGTAATATCAAACATTATGTTAATTGTGCTAGATCACCGGCTGGTAATGATGATGAAGCTGGTACTAGCAATGATTGTGATTCTAGTTTCTTTCCGATGTCCATGCCCATCACTTATGGTCCGATTGATGTACCGGGTTTCACCAAGAAAAACAAGGATAAAGGATTTCCTTATAATGTTACATTTGTACAGGTGAGTTCTTTATATTTTATTGCACGCCTCATAATCCGAAAAATATTTTTATTAAATTAATAACTGATAGTCACAGGATTTTTGTTTTCTTATTATTTCACTTCACAATTAATTTACGATAATAATCATGAGTTTGTTAAAATAAAAGTTTCGATTTGTATTAAAGCTTTTAATGTTAACAAAAATTTTATGTCAAGAAAAACGATTTAAAAAAGAAATTTCAATATTTTTATTTTTTATCAGATTTTCGAAAAAAATTTTTTTTTTCGAAAAATTGACAGGGGCATTTTATGCAAAATCGGGGAAAATGACTAAAATTTCTCTAACTCATTCTAATTTATTATTAAAAGTTTATATTTTACTAATTTGTAAAGAAAATTTTTTTTAATCAATAAGAAAATCGATTTTTCTCTCCTAGTAACTCTTCAGCCGTACTAACTTGTATCCGGGTCAAATGTTGTTTTAATAGTTTTAAGAACAAATTCATTTGATGTTTGTTATTAACTAACATATTTATTATTATAGTTTTAAGAACAAATTTTTTTATGTTCGTTATTAATTAACACCTAAGTTTATCAAGATCGTGTTGTCACCATGCTAAATCCTTTATTTGTGTTTTTTAATAAGTTTTTTTTAATTGTCCTAAATAATTTATAGTTAAATATATAAACAATAATGTTTCTAAGGTTGAAATAATATAAAAGTCTTTTTAATAAACAACTTCACGTACACATTTTGTACTTGTCCCACCAGTCACAATAAAAAAATTTTTTAAAATTGTTTCTACGTAGGCAATCAGTCTAATTCTTCATAATATTGAATGCTTGTAGGATAAATTTTGTATTGAGAGGGAAGTATTTTTTAAAAGTTTAGTGGTCGAACTGAAATTCGACTTTAAGTAAATCGCGGTAAGAGATAAGGATTTTTTTATGCCCCGCCAGTCACACTCAGTCAAATGATAATTACGAGAAACTTGAAAAGTAATCGAGGTTTTTGATAAAGAGATGTTGTTAATTAGTTATTCTTCTATATTATAAGATAAATTTTACTATAGTATAAGTTTTAGTCACATAATTATAGCTCATAATTGATGAAATTCCAGAGTCAAATGTCCTACCAGTCACTATGGAATGCTCCTGAGATTAAAATTTTTTTTCCTAATTATTTTATTTTTAATAAATTTTAAGAGAAAAAAATTGGTGATTGTTAAAAAAAAATTATTTTAAAGATTTGTATTGGTTAAAAAATTGCAAACCGTGAACCAAACAAAATGCTTGGCTCAAAAAAAGTTTTGGGTGCCTGTAAGAAGGCCGAAGTAAAAATTTTTCTTGAAATTCTATTCTTGGTGGAAGTAAATTTTTCTTAATTAAAATTATCATAAATACTTGATACAATAAATTTTTATATTTGATAAAGATTTTTAGATACTTTAGGGGAGCAGTGCCACTTACTTCAGTTGAGAAAAAAATTTTCTCACCTTGAGAAAATTTTTCTCTTGAATATTTGATACCCATTTTATATTATTTTAGCGTGCAATTATATATATATTGAATGAAAAAAACTGATTCAATATTATATGATCTTCCTATTTGACATGTTAATTAATAAAATAATAATGAAAATTTACTTCCATCTTTATATTTAATTTTTTGGAGCAAGAGAGAAATTTTCTCAAGACAAGATTTTCTTGACTAAAATAAATTTTCTTGGATCAAGATACGTATTTTTTAAAGCAAGAGAATTAATTTTGTTGGAATAAGTAAATTTTTTGTGTCAAAAAAAAAATTTTCTCCCCTCCGTGCGGGAAGCGTCAATTTTCTGCTTGCTGCGCTAAACGAAAATGCCGCTTTCCGCCTCCGTCGAGGAGAAAAATAGTATTCTCACCACGGGCAGGAAATAAGAAAGCCTCAGATCACATGTTTGTCGACCTCGGCTTCGCCTCGGTCAACAATTACATGTAATCTGAGACATTTCTTATTTTCCTGCCCCAGGTAAGAAAAATACTATTCCTTTTCGCTCAAGAAAATAATTAGGAAAAAAAATATATTCTTAGCTCAAGTGAACCTTTTTTTCTGTGTGAGTTTAATCACAGTTTTATAAATTTGATATTGAAAAAGAACATTCGATAATTCTTTTATTTTTAAGAAAACAGTTTGTGAAGAATTTATAAAAAATCTGGAAAACGATTGACTCTTAAGGCCATCCCTGCAACTTCCCGCTAATTCCATATCTAAGCGCTTAAAAAGCGCTCTTTGAACTCAAAAAAATAATTTGTATGTTATTTCAAGCTCTCTGAGATCATAGAGTTAGCTGTTTTAAGCCGACAAGCTTAAAAATCTGATAAAAGTTTAATAAAAGAGTATTTTTTGAATTTTCAAACTGCAATAATTTCTGAATGAATGAACGGATTTTTACGTAGTTTGCAGTAATCCACGCAGATTTTCAGAATCTATGATATAATTTTTAACATAAACTGATCGAACCGAAAATCTTAGAGAAATTTGAAAAATTCACTTTTTCCGAATTTTTTCGACAACGATATCTAATGAACTAATTAACCGATTTTCACGTTCTTGGTGGCGATCGACGTAGTTTTTTGGGCTCTAATAATTATTTTATTTCATCAAAAACGATCCAAAGAAAAATGTCGAAGTTATGTGAAAAAACACTTTTTTCGAAATTTTTCATTTTCGATAACTCTTGAACGACTCAACTGATTTTGACGGGACTGGTAGCAATCGACGTGGTTTTTCAAACTTAAGAGCGGATTAGTTTTTGGAATTGATCGGTAGAGCCGTTTAGAAGTTATTCCGAAAAAAACGATTTTTTTAAAATTTTATTTTTGAGATTTCTCAAAATCTAGCGAACCGAATCAATTCAAATTTCTACAAAATTTAATGGCAATGATACTCTTTAGATAGCCATCTATTTCGATCCGATCGACCGAGCCGTTCAAAAGTTATAAGAAGTTTACATACATACATACATACAGCTGCACGGACACCATCGTGGGTGGGGGTCAGGGAAGCTTTCTGTGACCTTAAAACGTCGAGATCTGATGAAAACTCGATTTCAATTTTCTTAGCGGGAGTTTAAAAAACTTCTAATTTTCTTATTAAGATAAAATTGGTGAAAATTGACTTGAAAAAAATAAAAAAAAAAGGAACTCAATTTAATAATGATCTTTTTTTTTTTTTTTTTTTTTAGGGTAACTACGTACTCGAAGATGATTCTCTATTAAAGTCCGAACAACCGCAATTCGATACAATTCTCTGTCTGTCAATCACCAAATGGATTCATTTAAATCACGGTGACGCTGGATTGAAACTGGCATTCAAGCGTATGCACGCACAGTTGCGTCCCGGTGGGGTTCTAGTATTAGAGGCGCAAGGTTGGCCAAGTTATGGGAAGAAAAAAGGATTGACCGTAAGTATTATTAATTTCATTTACTCACCGTAATCATCTAATAAAAACTTAAAATAAAATAATTTTTTTTTCTTTCCTTAGGAACGAACTTATAGAAATTATCACAGCATAGAATTCTTCCCTCAAAAATTCACCCAATACTTGATATCGCCCGAAGTAGGATTCACTCAGTGCGAAGTAGTCTCAATTCCCCCGCACCCATCAAAAGGGTTCCAGCGACCAATACAATTATTCAAAAAAGCCGAAACGAGTCCCCCGTCACGTCCAATTTCAGCAGCACCATCACCGTCGAAGATGACGCGTTTCGTAGCGCGAGCGCAGGAGAAGAAAGATTCCGAGATGCGCGCATTTGAGCGTGATTTATTTCCAATTCACAAAAGCCCAGTTAATAAACAAAGTGGAAATTTGTCAAATTTGAGTCAACGCAGCAGCGAATCAATGAGCAGTCACTACGAACAATTGGAAAATGTTTACGCGCCGAGTTCAACGCCTTGTTACGACACACCCAGTCACAATGAAAACAGTCTATCGGCATTTGAACCTGAAAAGATGTGCTACGTTGATGTCTCGATAAACCCCAGCATCAAAACAGATGACGGTTTAATTGTCCAACCACAAACTCCCGCTACTACTAGCACTGATTGTGATGACGCTACTAGGCATGTTGAAATCATTAAATTTAATGACGTAGACACGAGAACTGACAATGAGCGTAAAAGAAAAACCAATGAAATTAACTATCAGGCTGATATTAAGAAAAAAAAAGCTAATGATGATAGTGATAATGATGATGATGATGAAGAAAGACAGATGGGTGTCATACCAAAGCAAATTTTAAAAAAAGTAAATGACTACGTCCAAGTTATTCAAGATTTGGAAACTCAGAGACCACCTAAGGATTCTAATATCTCTGATTCAGTTGCAAATAATACATAAATTTAGTTATTCCTATTCATGATAAACAAGGTGCTTATTTAATTTTTTTTTTCGTCTATGTTTTACAGTCTTTCTTACAGAGAAAAACATTTTTTAAGCAGTGATATTTAAGGAACTTAAATTTGAAAGGTGTTTATTTCAAAAATTATGGAATTTTTAAATCAAATGACAATTTTCTTTTAGTGAATTTCAAATGATAACGGTAAATATTTTGATTAACATTTATGAAATAGTTTTCATTGTTGAATTTAATTATTCATTTCAAAACAGATGTTGAAAGAATTTCGCATTACTAAAACCATTAGGGCGTAACTCAAAATATAATAAATTTTTTTTGCTTCAATCAATGTAAAAAAGGTTGAAAACATGAACATCTATGAAAAAAACGAAAAAAAAAAATTTTTTTTATACGCCTTTATGGTTTTAAGAAAAAAATTTTTTAATGTCATAAGGGCATATGTTTTTTCGGTTTATTATCAATTATAGGTCAGAGTAAGAAAAAAAATTGCAAAGGCAATAAAAATTATATAATTTATATCAACAAATATTTATTTAAGTAAAAAAACGAATGAAAAATGGAAAAAATAAATTCATCAGGGTATTAGTCATATGCCGTCTGCATCGTCAGGATCATCTGTACCTAAGATTATAAAAAAGATTTGAAATTTTTTTTTTTAACATAACTTGATAGTAATAAAAAGATTTATAAACTATTACCTCCACTGAAAATTAAACTTTGACAAAACCGATGATATTTTTGTAGGACAGTGCTTGATGGATAAAAATGATTTAGGTCATCAAACTTGCTTCAAGATATTGGTATTAAAGAATCATAACAATTCTCAATTACAGTTCTAAATAGCTTACAAAACTTTTTTTTAAATGTAAATACATCTGAAGCAAAAAAAAATCAATTTAGTAAAACTTTGAGGCTAAATTTATTAACTTGAAGCCATACCGCTTGTTCTCATGTTGTTATAAATTTTTTTATTGTTATCAAGTAATATTCTAAAAAAAAATTGAAAAATCTTTTTTTATAATCTTAGGTACAGATGGTCCTAACGATAAGGATGGCATAGAACTAATACCCTGATGAATTTATTTTTTCTTAATTTTTCATTCATTTTTTCACTTGAATAAATATTTGTTGATATAAATTAAGTTGTGGAATGGTAATTATTATTACCTTTGCAATTTTTTTTCTTGCTCTGATGCCCTTATGACTTTAAAAAAAATTTTTCTTGATACCACAAGGGCGTATAACAAAAAAAATTTTTTTTTCGTTTTTTCCATAGATATTAATGTTTTTGACATTTTTACATTGATTGGAACAAAAAAAAATTTTTTATACGCCCTTATGGTTTTAGTAACGCGATTTATTTTTCTTATTTTCTCTGTTACAGTTTAAAGCTCAATTCAAAACGGCTGAAATATTTTTATGTTAATAATAATTTACTTCTAAAGCAATAATTTATCTTTTGATAAAAATATCCTTTCAAATTTCAGCTCCTCATTTTTATAATTAAAATTTCTTAATTCGTAGATAAAATTTTCAATTATTAATTTTGTATAGTCAATTTTTTCATAGTCTCAATAATTATTTTGTGTTTCTATTACACAGATAATAAATAAGGTAAAAGACCCAGTTACTGACACTGGCCTAGTTGTTGGACAATTGCAATTTTATTTCAATTAAGGAAATAAAATGTTCTCAAAAAAATTTATAATTCACAAACGGTATTTATTAATTTATTAAATTGCAAGTGTCAATAACTAGGCCAGTGTCAATAATTGGATCTTTGACTTTATTATGAAAATAACGATAGATATTAATTCGATAAAATAATTAAATATCACTACTTGAATAAAGTTTATTCTTTGTCGCGGAACATGCAGCTAGTCGAAATTTTTTTTTAATTCTCGCATGTTCATAACATGTGTAAACGTAACAAAACAAGGTTACATAATTTATAAAATCGTATTCCTAATTTATGTATTATTATTGGTCATCACGCTTAACTTTAATGTAATTTAATTAAGTTAACTCTATTACGAAATAGTATTTTTTATTTTGTTCAAATTCCAATTGAGATTAACTCAACTATTAATCAATTTAATGATATTTTACAAGCGTTTAATAAATCTTTTTTTTCTTTCTTTTTTAAGGCAGTACTTAGATTTACAATACTTCCGAAAAATAGAGTGCCTGTATAATAAAAAAACAATATTGTTCAAATCAGTGCGTGAATTAAAAAAAGGAAAGGAGTTTTTTATTTTAATTTTTTTTTATTTATTTAATTCCTTTTTTTAATGCAAATCAATGTACAGTTCAACTTGATTGATTAATTTATGAAAAGACTGATTTTCGGCTTTAGAAATTAACAAATGCGAAAAATTGAAATAATTAATTAATAAGAAATTGAATATTAAATCGTTGAACGTACAGTGAACAATATTAAGTAATGTTGAGCGTTACGATATAATTAATTAATAATAAAATAATTACGATAATTTGTAAACATTAATGAAAATTTACACTGGAAATAATGAAATAATTATAAATAAATTGTAAGTAAATTTTCATTGACGAAACGTTCATGTGAGTCATTTTATGTAAAAACAAAATAATCATAATAAATAATAATTAATTTTAATAAACTTGTAAATCGATAATGTAAGTCGTAAATGTTTATTTTTAGTGTAATATAAGTTTCCGTATATTGCGTCACTGATTGATATTATTTTATACGAGTAACTTATACTTATTTTTGAATGATTTGCAAATATCATTTCAGAATTTATATTTTACTAAAAGTATTAAATTATTATAAAGCAATAGGTATTTTTAATGGACATTGAATTAAAAAAATTTTTTAATGATTTTATTTATTTACTATTTTGTAAAGTAAATTAAAGTATTGTTTAATTGATGCGTAGTTGTATTCAGCTATGTTAGAAATTATCGAGTGATTTATTTTTTTAATTAGTTTGATATTTTGAAGTTTTTTAAAAAAATTATAAACAAGCAATTTATCGATTTAAATTATTACCTGATTATTAAAAAAAAAAAAAAAAATTAACTCGATTGTAAAAATATTGTTAAAAAACAAGTTTTAATTTCTATTTTTCATTTTAAAATTTTTCTTTTAAATTAAACCGTGTGAATATTTTTTTTCTGAAGAAAATTTTAAAAAATTTGAGAATAAATTGTTTGTTAAACCATTCTCAAAAATTTTTAAAATGACGTCAAATTTAATACTTATTTTAATTTAAAATCACAAAACTTTGATTTTTTTAATTTGGTATTACAAAAAAATATTTTTTTTTTCTTTAGAGTTTTTAAAGTTTGTTTGTTTGAATTATTTATTTTTTTTTTTTTTTGGTTGCGAAAAACAAATTATTTTAACTCGAAATTAAAGTTCAGTGGTTGGGGTTTAGTTTTTAAGAACAGAAAATTTGTTAATTTATTTCCATTAATGTCTGTCAAATTGAGATAATCAAACAAAGATGTAACTTAGAGAATGAAAGAAATTTGTATGCATGTGTAATAATGCTTTGTAAATGAATTGTAATGAATTAATGACTATGTATACTGGTATTTCTTCTCTAAAACTTTATCTTTTTCAGTAAAATCTTCCGATTTCAAGCATATATCACAAACATTGTAAAGAAATAATTGTAAGTGATGACGTCCCGCTCGATTCCGTGTAAAAATTGAAAAAAAAAATTGCCTTGGAAATTTGCCTATACATAATAATTAAATTTTTAATAACTAAAGTCGTTCATTGGTGTCGCATAATGTAATAATTAATTTATTAAATAATAATAAATTGATAAGAAAATTTTTACTTGATAACTAGCAGAATAATTAAGCACAAATCGAACTTGGGCGCAATCACTCAAGTGACCGCTTCAAATAATATATTTATTATAACTGTATATCTATTTGAGGTGCATACTGAAATAGTACATAATAATAATTGTATAAATCGCGAAGAAATATAGAATTTAGTGAAGAATAATAATAAAATCTTTAAGATTAAATTACTAATCGTTTTTATTTTTATTTTTCAACAAAATATATACTAACTCCTCTCCCTCTTCCCTTTTTATAAATCCAATGATATAGAATTAACTGCATTAGAGCTTTTTTGTTAACATTGAAAATTATTTGTCGCGTAACTACATGACAGTTTCATTATTTACACAAAAATGTATTCAATTATTAGATTATCGTTTTTTGTAGTGATAATGATATTGTCAGATTGGAACTCTAGTTTAGATCAATTCAATGATGACGATTACATAAAAAATTAAAAAACTTAAGAAAGTTTCTTCTCTTAAAATATTTCAGGCATTAAACGCGAAGCGCGTATTTTTCAGTTCTTAATTACGATTTTATGATATTTAGTAAATTTGTTTGTTATTTAAGTACAATTTTATAAAAAACATGAACTGAAATTTTACATTTTAAAAATTTTTATAAAATTCATTTAAAAATTCTATAATTATTGATAATTTTACTTCAAAAATTTGACAACGCTAATTTCTAATTATTTTTTTCATTTAATCACACATATTTTTTTTTTATAAATGAGTGAAATATGAAAAGTCAATAATGTTACTTATTCATCACAAATTATAAGATTTTGTATTTTAAAATAGTTAATATCACAAAAATACTGTACAATAATAAAATAAATGACTTTAAGAAATAATAATAAAATAACAAACTTACCTTTTTGTTATTCTTATAATTAATAAATTCAAAATAATAATAGCTTAATTCATTATATTATATAATAATAATATATAACGAAAGAAATTAACATCAAAGCTAAATATTTATTATTACAAAAAAATATAATATATTAATTTATAAATTTTTATAAGATTACATTTTTATATAAAAAATGACAAAATTTTATTAAAAGAAAAAAAATTATATAGTATACATATAAAATTAATATTTATATGACATCATATATCTATACTATACTTTTCCGGAAATATTAAAATGTGTAATTAATTATGTCCTAAATAATGAAGAAGAAGTGTTTTTAAACATTAATAAAAATAAGCTTGATTTAGAAAAAAATAAATTTTAAATCAAGAATATAGTTTTTAACAGTTGAACCATTTTAAACTTAAGCAAAAAAATTCTTAGAATTTGTAAGTAAAATTAACTTTAGTAAATAGTAATTTTATATTTCTAAAATTTTTTTATATTCTTTAAATATAGTTTAAAATTTTTTAATTATTTTTTTTTTAAATTAAATTTAAACATTATACATATGAGGTATACTGTATTATAATACAGTAAAACGGAAAAAGTGAGAGTTACGGATCAATTATTATTAAATTAGTTATTTTTTGGATGTTTACGATTTTTCCACTTTGTCTGCTAAAAAGTGGGGAGCACAGAGTCACCGAAAGATAATGCAGAACTACCGAATTGTGGGCTTTGTGGGAGAATTTCTGATGTTGTTGAAGTTGACCCAAAAGTTGACCCAGTGCAACCCAAGCTCGTTGGGAGTTCAAGTGCTACATCATTACGGATCTCAGTAACATTCATTTCGATGAAGGTAATCGCATGTTGTTGCAATATAACTGACTTGTAAAGCTGGCCTTTATTGTGAATTTTGAATACATTTCCTTTAGTCAACTTAGTAATCAAAATGTATTCGCAAGTTGATATAACTCTTTTAATTTCATACATATGCGCAAACTCGAATAATTTTATAGCGAATTCAGCGTCTTTTTCGGCTTTATCCATTTTTCCTTTGTAAAAGAACAGAAGCAGTTCTTCTATTACATCAGGTTCAATATCCGGAAATGTAATACTATTTTCTTTGGACTCTTTCATGTCAGAAGTCAGCATTTTGTAGAAAACAGGACTTTGCGCAGCAATTATATTCTTCTGAGCTTTAAATTCAGTCTTTTCGACTTTAATTACTATGTCATTAAATTCTTCATTGTTATGTAGAATTTTCAGTACAGTGCTTACATCGGGATAATAAAAGTCTTCCACGAAACCGCCCCAAATAATTGAACAATCCACTGTCACTGTATATTTGGGTCCGTCCGCACTTGGTGCACCAAAAATATCATGACTTACAGGGTGTACATCAGAAGTAATAGGAAGTGATATGCTCTTAAAAAATACTTTTTTTGTCCAATCAACAGAGCGACGAGTTCTCGTGGTTTCACCAATTTTAAGTGTTATTATTGAAACAGATTTCCGTGGATCGTCCTTTTTTATTGTAACGTCTATGGTTTTGGTATCAATATTTATTTGCGTGTTAATCTTGAATTTTATACCAGGAATTTTGGGTGTTGCAAATTCAGGTGACTTCTGCAACCCGCTCTTTCCCATGAGGTATAAGAAAGAATGACTGAATTTAAATAAATTTTTTGGTTCCGGCGCTGAGAATACGCTGTCAACGACGAATATGGATCCTGAGTTGGGACGAGCCGTTCCTGAAAAAAGACAAAAATATTTCAGCTATCACTATCCTCTGATTACAGAAGGGTTTATATGGTTAATTATTAAAATTCAGAAAAGATTAATAGTATATTTGATACGATTTGTGAAACTATCGAAAAATTAGTTTTTTTTTTATCCTATCAAATTATTTTGTTCAATCAGAAATAAGCTGAGATGTTAATAATTGCAATTAATTAATAAATTCAATTATATTTTTATAAAAACATTGAATTAAAAATTTTTACGAATATTTTAATTTAAAAAAAAAATAAATAAATAAAATTTTGAAATTTTAAATAATTTTAGAATTTTTTAAGGAGGAAATAACTATTTTTTTTAGAAAAAAATTGTACCACCCAATGAAATAGTCTTTTCTAAATAATACATATTTTTTGCAAAGACATAAACTATAATTTTTATATTAAATTTTAGCGTTCAACTATACCTCCCAATTTTTAAAGCGGTACCCAGAACTTGAACAAGCTGGGACCATATAATTTCAACACCACTTTAACCTTTAATAGGTTTATAGACTAGTGATCAGTATTGTGATTTGTATTAATTACTGCAAATTAAATAAGTTTTATAACTAAAAATTAGTATAGTTAAAAATTATTGGACGTTTTGAATTGAGTTTTTTTGATTTATGATTGAAAATTTACTTTGTCATTCATAAAAAATGTAATTAAAAAATCAAATACAAATGTTTCTCATTTTTAAATGAACATATTAAATATCCACAGTATTATTTTTAATATTATTCAATAATATGCTATAAATCTTTGAATATTTCAATAAAACGTTAAAAATTTTTGGTGTGCCTATTGCTATATATTTTATTAGTTCAACTTTTGCTCCCGGAGTGTTCAACTACTGCGGCTTATCAGAATTGATTGTTCAACTACTACTTTATCATAGTCTATCTTAAAAACGTTGTCAAATTACAAATATTCAATTATTTGCGTTATTTTGCACTTGAATCAATTCAAAATTGTTTATATTTTCATAAAAATCACTAATTTGAACTAATAAATACATCTTTATATATTAAAAGTAGGGTCAAATACGTTTTACTTTGAAACCTGTTCAACTACTGGGTACTTTACCTTATTTTATAACTAAAACTATGAAAAAATAATTTTTTAATATGAAATATATTTCAACACCAAATATTACCAACACCTACACCATCTGAGTACACACCGTTTTTTTTCGACAGTGTATCTAACTGCTGTAAAACGTCCTTTTGGCATTTTTTGTTCGTTTTGTTACAAATTAAAAATTTAAAAAAAAAATTAAAATTTAGTACACAGTTAAAATTTTCATAAAAATTAAAATTTTCGGACATTCGAAAGTTTAAAGCTACTATCGTTCTATTAAAAATAACAATTTAAAACATTTTAAAAAATTTTTTACTTACCACCAAAAGTGAAATTGTCCATAATAATAACTTATTTTTTTTATATAAAATACTACAATTCTTAGCTCTTTAACTAAGCCAAATTAACAGTGACAAATGACTTTGATACTGATAACAGAATGTTTTATGTTTTTCATTGGCACCGAGAGTATTTTTCTCATACGGCCGTTGGGTGTTGTGAGGTGGGTAGTTTGTCTTGGTTAAGTACTAGCCTTAAACCTAGGCGGCGCTGGAGCGAACCTCAGGGAATCGAAAGATATCAGCATATGAAAATGTGAAAAATCTTTAGACTCGCCGGGGATCGAACCCGCGCCTTGCCACATGAATTGTACGAACGGACCAACGCATTGAACCGCTCGGTCAACATCGAGGCTCTGACAACAGAATGAATGTTATCGCCGGACTCATCAAGCTTGCTTACATTTCTTCCAAACAAAAACGAAACCTTTAGTTTTTTTTTTTTTTTTTTTTATTTCTATGTATGGTTATGTACATTCAGCGCCTAATGATAGGGCGCGTTCAAGTTTACCAAGTTCTTATTGGGATCGAGCATCTAGACTTTTACGCCAACTGGTGGTGAATATCTCAAATAATTGGCATCGTTTATTAAATTTTTACACGTGATTTATTTTTTAATAATTAATATTAAGATTAATTGATATTATTTTAATTATGTCAGCTTCAAGAAAAAATTGCTGCATCCGTGGTTGTAATAATATATCACGTCAAAAACGTGGAGTTGATGTGAAAGTCAAATTTTATAAATTCCCAGATAGCATGTTTGGAGCTGCATGGAAAATAGCAAAACGTAAACAGTGGATAAAAGCAGTAAAAAATTATGTGTAAGTTCAGTATTAATCAAAAATTCATGACCCTGAAATTAGCGGATAGCAGACAAAATAAAATTTCAGATAGGGATATCTACAAGCGAAATTAAGTTAGTTTTTCGAGTTTACCAAATTATAAATGGTTTGTCGTTGACTTACCTACAGGTGATAATAGAAAAAATTTTTTTTTTGCTAATAAAAAATTTTTTACATTAAAAATTAAATTTTGGGAAACTCTCACCGTGTTTCCTATTGTTTCATAAATATGAAATTTTCAAATTTAGTTTATTTTTAGATCCAAAAAAGATGATTTCAGTTAGTTTTTTTAATTTTGGCTTAGGGCATTCTGGGACGTATATCTGCGAGTAAAATCAATGATTATTATTAAAAAAAAAAAAAAAAACAGTCACCTTTTCGTCTTTGAAAAATCTAAAGGTGGTATTTTTTTGATTTCAAATTTGTTAGTCGGATCGTTAGATATCCTTAATTTTTTATTTTTTTGAAAATTTTGGTGCCGGATATCAAAGTAAAAAATAATCAAAATCAAAATCAAAAAAATGTCATGTTTTCATTTTTCACGAATCTAAAGATGATTTATCTCGGATTTTTTATTTTCTTATTTATTTCTTGAATATTC